CAGGAATGCAGTTTACCGTGCAGGGCCTGACCCTGTAATTTGAGTGGAATGCCATGTAGGAATGGCAAACACACTTTCTGCTGTTTTACATAAAATCTCATAAGAAATTTTCATGGGCATTATCAGTTCCTTTAAATCAAATCTTACTGATTACAGATGGAAATGAAGAGGCCAGTTCGAAACAAAATCTGTGGACATACTTATGAAGAAGCAGCCATTCTAAAAATTATCGAGACTCGAAAACAGCAAAAGAAAAAAGTCCGGTAAGCTAACAAGAATGTGTGGAAAAGCTATTTGCTTTGCAGTGTAAGTGGAATTTTACTCCACTTGTTCTAGGAAATGTATTTGGATTGGCAAGGCTGCAGGAAGTAATACCTCAGTGTCTGCCCAAGTCACAGTCTCCTCGTTAGTACCGTACACGTGAAGGAGCTTTTCTTTTTAATGAAAACAATGTGTAAGGAAATATTCAGGAAGTGTGTGGGGAAGTTACAGCTACTTGTGGTACCTGCATGACACAAGCAAAGAGATTTCGTATAACCATGAACAACAAAGAGAAATTTCAGCTTCCTAAAATTTCATTGCTCATTTTGTTCCCACTGCTTATTTAGCAAGCCCTGAATTTAAAGAAAAAAAGTCTCCTCTGTGCACCTTCTTTTGCAGTTATATTCCAATATAACTGAGAAATATTCAAACACTTAAATGAGTGTTAAAATGAGATATAGTAAACTACAACTTTTTAGTTAGTACAGAGTTTAACAATGATCAGACTGAGCTTTAAGAATGATCAGACAGGATTGTGCAGTTCCTATTATGATGCAATTAAATAATTCTTACTTTATATCACCAAATCAGCCTGCCACTTTCCACATATCCACAAATTTCATATTTTTTTGAATGAAAAGATGTAACAGTTGAATTTTTAAACCTGAAATTCTTGCCAGTAAGTTTTGAATTTAGGATGGTTTTGATTTTAAAAAAAAAAGAAGAAGAAAAGCGGCTCAAACACTTTTTAGAGCAAGTTTAGAGGACACAGCATTTTATCATTAATTTCATATTTGTTATATCATATATGCTAGAGCCTCATGCTTTGGGGTTGATGACCTCATGGAAACTTACCAGTTGTGGACTTTTTCATAAATGTGCAGTTTGCACATGCTCAGGAAGATCTGCCAGAGACTAGCAACCTGATTTCCCCAAAGATAATGACACAGGCACTTTCTCCATCTGTTGCTCTTGCATTTCTGTTAGACTCTACATACTCCACCATCGGGATACAAAGGTGGAGAGGGACTTTTTATTCCACGCTCCTTCCTGGCTACAGGAAAGCACTGCTATGAAATCAAGCATCAATTGGGGTGTCCAGCCACTACCTTAGTGTCAAGACAGCTTGAAGAGCAAGACAGAAGTACCTTGCCTGTGTTATGAGGTCCAGGGAGAAAAAGTGCAGTGGGTGCAATATACTGGGAATAACAACAAATCCAGCAACATGGATGGAGAGAAACTTGGCTGGAAAAATGAATGAGAGTTGGGAAATAGCTGACAAGTTGGAGAGTAAAAAGCAAGCATTCTGGAGGATAGGGAGAGGCTAGGAAGCATGTGCTCCACAGCCCAAAACCACGACAAAAATACCTTCTGCAATACGGAACTGAATTTAGGATGTTCGTATCTAAATAATTCTCTGTGGTGTTAAGTCCATCAGGAAAATGTCATGGTAGTAGAGACCATTGTGAATCAAAAGTTTCAGCACTGCTGAAAAACTAACAGGGTCACATGACTGAATTTTTATTTTACCTTTTAAGAAATTAGAGAAAATACAGAGTAAAAAAAAATCATGTAAGCGGTACATTTAACTCTAAAAGCTACCTTATACCCAAACTGAAGTTATTTGTGCAGTCTGAATCCTGCAGTTCTTAATTTTGAGTTTGTAGCTTGCAACCTTACCATTTTTACAGTAGTTATTCCAGTATGCTAGAAAAGCACAAGCACAGCAATAACCTAGCTTCCCTGTAACTAAGTTAAGAAAGACTGCTTGGTTTTCTCTGCCCAATCTCACTGACCTGCTGTAATTTTAACCTTTCTCATGAAAATGCAGTCAGTTTTGAAAAACCGTAGTCTGCTGTGGTGGGGAGACAGGCCAGTTGATACAAGTTCTCCATCTGAGTACCCCGTTCTCACGGCGTTACTACTTGACTGCGCTCCTGGCAGCAATACCTAAATGGAAGCAGGTATCTTGCTAGAGCAGAGTCGTGGTTAGGGGGATCCTCTCTATCCTGACTCTGAAATCAAAGCTTTTGCTCACTCTGGAGTTACAGAAGTGGCTGTTTCCTCACACGTACTTCCCAGTTTGAAGCCACAGGATCCCTTCAGTGCACAGTGCACTGGCTGAATGTCAGCTCTTCAGCTGATGTATGCACAGCCACCGGTTTTGTGCTGATAGACTCACCATAGACTCCTTTAGGCAACTCTTACGTGTCTCAGTTTGCTCACTATTTTCCACTGCCTGGAAGGACATACTAATACTTTATGCTTCCAGGAAACGTGGGAAGCTTTCTGAGCACTTGTTATTCATTAATCTGGCAAGCTATTGCTCTAATAAGGTGATAAATGGGAAAACTGAGGCACAGAGCAATTAAGTGACTTGTCCGTGACAAACACAGTGAGCTGTGGACAAACTTGGAATAAAAGCTGTGAGTACTGAGAGTAACTAAGTTCAGCGCCTCAGACAAAAGTTAGTATAATAGAGGAAATAGAGGAAAAAATTCCTAATAGAGGAAAAATTCAGGAAAAGTGTTATTTCTGAATAAAGATACCATCAGTGCATGTTTGGGCCACTGCCAAAGGAAAATGACTTTTGGTCCCTGAATATCTTTCACCCTGCTATCTTTATCTGGCTGTTTCAAGTAGCTATAAGACATTTTGTATTTGATTATCATTTAGAGGCTGTTTATTTGTCCCCATCTCTCCTTTCTGTGCTTTCTCAGTTCATAAAAGGCCAGGTAAGTTTTTACACCAACTAGATAGTCCACTGATTCACCAGTCAGCCTTTGCAAGTCTCACTCTCTTTTATCTATTTCCCTAGAAATTAATTTCCTGATTTATTTATCAGTGAAGATTATACTTCTCCACTGCAGATTAATATGGTAAGAGGTAGTTACCTGCAGTTTGTAGAGGACTGCAGAGAGAGAAAGCAACACAGAAAGATGTCCATGCAATGCTAGTTTCATTACTGATGCAGGCAGCTTGTGTATATGAAGCACAAGAGTGATCTACAGGTGAGAGGTTCTGTCTCTCACTATGTTCCTTCCTTTCTTCAGCTGTTGATTCCCACCAGTTTAAATAAATGGATTTATTTTTCCCCACAGAGGGCTGGTGAAGAGGAAGAGAGGGGACGAGGAGCTGGCAGAGAGAGAGGATCCCAGATAAATACAATAAACCAGCAGATGTTATGTAAAAGCCTATATCTGACAAATACAATTCTTCCAATTTAATGGAGTCTCTCTTTTCTTTTTAACAGATGCCCTAAAATTGGCTGTAGCCATGCTGATGTAAAAGGATCAGATCTTGTGCCAGATGAAGCACTTAAAAGAGCGATTGACAGTCAGAATAAACAAAGCTGGTCAACACTGGAGAAGTCAGCTGGATACGCTGCTGCCACAAAGAAAATTTGTTATTAGAGGTCTTGTGAGATAAGCTGCTGATTGTAAGTAGGTTGTGTAACTGATTGTTATTTAAAGTGTTTCATTTATAGGCAAAATTGAAGGTCTCAGCTGTAACTGAAAGCATTTTTTAAACTGCCAAATATGAGGAATTCCAGTTTGTCTGGGTTTTTTTAACCTTCCTGAAATTTTAAAAGCTTGCATTTGATAAATAAAACGTGGTTTGCAGCATTTAACCAACCATCCTTGTCAGTGTGCTAATTTTTTCAGCATATTAGAGATGCAGATTCTGCCAGCATGTAACAGAGAGTGCTTTGTTCGGTATTGCAGATAGTTCTGTTACTGTCTCTGTACCTGCTGGGAATACTCGGAGTAGGGCACTCTGACCGAGGATTTACCCAAGTCGTATACCCTGCTTAGGAGCACGTCCGTGTTTTAATACAAACCTCAAGAAACTAACAGAGCTTAATTTGCAGGAAGGGCTGCAATTCTGTACCTTGTGTGTGGACATACAAAATTACCACTCACCTTTGAGGATCTTGGCCTTGTTCTTGTTGAACACTCTGCCCTAACTTACGCTTTGCTTTTGAGATTCAGAAGCTTTTATTTCGGGCTTTTTGTATTTGGAAGTCCCAGGGGGATTTACCTTAATACAGTAGGCTAGGAGACTACAATCATTTACAAATTTCTTCCAATAACTAGTTCGTAGATAATACAAATACATTGTAACCATATGCCTTGAACTGAAAAGCAGTTAATCTCATTTTATATAAGCTTCAGATATCTATGCATTTGGGCACATATCCAAAAAAGGACTTAAACTTTGTGACACTGTATTTATTACCCAAATTGATCTTAACATATCTAGCAGATAAGGCACTACATATATGAATTAGAAATAACCATAGGTAAAAGGAGCCACCTTGGTGGTCAAATAGCAATTATCTCTTAGCATATGTGAAGCAGAAAATATAGGTTTCTTTGAACTTTGGGATCCTTAGCGGGTTAGATGGTATTTTCCTAGGTCATTTTTCTGAATTTACAATCTGACATTTAGTGAAAAATGTAGCTAAGGTACCTAAATGCTGAGCTTTTCACTCTGGGTTACTGTTTGCTAACAGCTTTCCTTTCGTAGACCATTATTAACCCCAGTTGTACTTAAGAGTGCAAACCACTTCAAACTGAAATTGTTATTTTGTAATTGAAGAATATTAATCTGCAAGCTGATTTCATAGCTAAAAAAGGGAACTGAACCATTATTATTTGCACTGAGCTTTTGTGTTCAAAGCACTTCATGGGAATTAGCTGGGTAATTTTCATAATGTGGCCTAACCCCAAAGGTCCATCTTTTCAAAACTGAGCAGCGATCGTGAGTGCTTCTGTCTTGTAGAAGCCCAGCTGAAATAGCTGAAAGAGACTGGGGACAGTTGAGCAGTATGTACTTGTTTGTATCTTTATGTGTAAAAATCAGGTCCCTTTTAAGACATCTCAGGTCTCAAACCTATAGTTTTTAAGATGGGTCACCAATTTTCAGTTAAATACCACAAAGGAGGATGTTAACTATAGCATTTGTCAAAAAAAAAAAGGCCGGGAGGGAATGTCCTAAACCGTTCGTAGCTTTTTGTTTCATCTTTAAGTTTGTGGTTAAATTTACTCCAGTGCCATGTATAAGCAGAACACTCAGAGACAGAAACCTCTGTTAGTTAAACGATCTTTGCACTTTCTGACAGAGGTGCATTAATGTTGTCCTTGTGGATCCAATTCAATCCCTAGTGGTAATCAGTCTCCCAGGTTTTCAGATGCAAAGATGTACATACATTTTACATGGCCACAGTGTTGCACCTCAGATTTAGTTCATGTGGGTGTCTGGGTGCTTGAGTGTGCCTTCCAATAACACATAACATTATAAATATTAAATTATACCCAGATTAATTTGTACTGACAAGCTGGAGGCAGCAGGTTTGGTTTGCTACGTGTGGTGTTTGTACGAGTATACCCTTAGATAGCTACAGTTCCTGATATGGTCATTACCCTCATGTTCCAATGAGTAACGCTGCAAGGGAGATTGCTGTCTTGGTTACACCTTGTTGTCATGCGTTAAAGAGCGAGGCTTGACCCATAGCACTGCTGATGGCCCTAGTGGAGCTGCACTCAGTCTGTCTCTGTGTTAGCTAATCCACCGGTAATAATGTGAACTGCCCGCTTAAGGTGATGCAGCTGGGAGAAAAAACAAACAAATCTGAAGCAACACTTTAGATGAAGAGAACAAATAGTCAAGCACTCACTTCTTGCCACTGTAAGTGGAAAGGTATTTTTGAATGTTCACATTCCTGCCCCAAAATACATGGTCTTCCTTCTCTCCTTTGCTAGCCTGAGCCAGGCAGCATCAGTGAATCAGAGAGCCTAAACAGCAAGTGCAGGTGCAGCCTAAATTCTGAAATCGTTCTCAGTCTTCAGCTGAAAGAAATGGACTGATTTTTGGCACCGCTTACCTGCTTAGCTTTCATAACAATCACATACAAGGTGAAGAGGCATGTGTATTTAAATAGAGGTAGCTTGCTTTCTTTTATTATCAGAGATACCTCTTTTCAAGTATGGATACAGCCATATGATCCAGAAAAAGACAAATACTCATGCACTTATGTCAGGATTGCTGACGAGAGTACTTGAGTCCCATCAGAATCAGTGATGCACCACCTAGATTCAACTGCTAGAGACAACTGCCTGTATTTACTGAAATCAATGCAGTTCTCCCCCAGAATGTTTGGATTTTTGAATTTAAACTGTATCATAACATCCAAGGAATCCTAGTACGAGTGAATTTTTTTTCTCTGAATGTGGAATTTGAGCCATCCTGTTGATTTTTCATGGCTGGTTCCCTCTTGTTGTTGGTTCCTACAAGTAATTTTCCTTCTGAAATTGAAAGATTACAGGCTTGGTCATCAGCATGAATTGCAGCTGGCACTTTACTAGGTGGAAGGACAGACTAGCCTTGGCATTTGGGGAAGGCTTCTGTGCCTGTCGGCTGACCAGATGGAAGTTAGAAACCGCTACTGATTCATTGGGGTGGCTGTAGTTACTGGCAGCTCTTTGCTCTTTCGTTTGCAAAGTTGGGGGTTTGTTACACAGTTGTGACCTCTCTGTTCCCATGTGTCCTGTGTCCCCCATAAACTCTGTTCTGGATAGAAGTAGCTTGAAAGAGTTAAAGAATAAAAATAGGTGTCTGTGATGAATAAGCTGATCTGAATGATTCATAGAAGTGGAAACTCAACAGCAGTTAAACCTTCAAATCTTAATCTGTTTTGGCTATAAGATATCGTATGTAAACAGGCATATGTTAACAGTTCACAGGGCAATTTGTGTCTCATTGTTTGACGTCAGAAATTTTGCAACAATATTTAAGGAAAGAAACTCAGAGGTGAGGTGATTTTTTTCTTTTCCATAAGGGGTGCTTTACAGATGCAGCAAACTTCAATGGAGCTGATAAGGGTCTCTCACTGCAACCTGGTGAGAATCTGTCTCTGCCAGAGAACAGAAGTTCCACAGTCTTTTTGAGTGATTAAAGAAACGTCTAATCAAACATTAAAGGCAAGAGAGATCTATATGCAACAGCTTTCAGTGGAACCCCGAGGCACGAGCCATTAACACAGCTCTCTCACTTGAACAGATTCTCCCCGTGAAGCAGAATTCTCCATTGTACAGCTAGAGACTCTGAAGTTTTCAAATCAGTGGAGCCATGACGTGTGAAGATAAAAACTAATCAGGCAGGCATCTCATGGAAGATTTAGCACACTTGTGCTAAAAGGAGCACACATTCCTCTGAATCAAGGACATATTCATCATTACTGCTCCGGAGCTGTGATCTTATTCATTCTAGAAGGATCAAAAAGACTAGGCTAAGTCAGTGCTCCCTTGAGAAATACCCGGAGCAAAAGCAGCGGCTGCAGGAAGTGATACCGATGACTCAACAGCCAAGGCCAACACACTGCCTTATTTTAGACAATGTCCTCTTGGACACACTCATGTTTCCTCATGAGTGGCTGATGACAAAGGTCCTACCTACCTGTGGTCACAAGTACCTCATGACATTTTTCTCAAGAATAGGTCTAGTATTGTGGCCAAAACTAGCTTAAAATTCACTGTGCAACTTGATTAACTTCTACTGCCATTTCAAGTGAATGTTAATCTCCACCTTCCCTAAAAATCTCCAAGCCTATAGATCCTGAGGTACTGTGTGGTCCATTAACTGAACATTTCCATAATGGATACTGCTCTGTTATACAGTGAAGAAGATGCACCTAGGAAAGGGGCTTCCTGGAGTGGAAAATGTTAGACTGTCCGAAGGACAAATCTTTCTTTCTCTTGCTACAGCCAAAGCCTTAAGCTGATGGCTCCTCACTACAAGGACAGACTAGTACTGACTGCAAATTCCAAGTCTTCCATAAATAATGATTTATTTTCTGGTCATAAAGTATGTACTGTTAATACAGATTATTTCAAACACACGACGTGGTCACAGCAATGTGCAGAGGAGAATCCTGTGTGTAGGTGCTAGCGAATTCTAGGCTGCCAGCCAGCTGCCATAAGAAGTAAAAACATTAGATTGATTGTTAAGCAAGTAAAATTCTGGGATGCGTGTACATCGTACAGTAGATACCCATGTATGTGCTTAGCCTCTTGATGCATGAGTAATCTCAGCGACTTAACAGGACTGCAGCAACGAACAGAAAACATGGTGTGTTTCATCATTTCAAAATGCTGCGGAAAATGCTGCGGTGGGCTGAGAAGAGAGCCTGCCTCTCTCGCTTATTCTGATGTTAGTCCAGACCCGAAGACAGAGCTTGAAAGTACACACATGAATTGAATTGCATGGGAAGCTTACCAAAGGAAGTGTTTGCTTGTAAACTCAGTATGAATAGGATCTTCTCTGACCGCAAGGGAAATGGAGAGACACTCATTCATTGTCCGCTTGTGCAATCAACTTCTGAAGTAAAAACAGGATTTGAGGTTTAAAACCTGAACCTTCACACGTCTTTCAAGCAACAGAAGAAGACTTCTTGCTCTTCAGTCTGCAAAGGAACAAAGTCAGGAGGTGCTGCTCATGAGACTCCTTGGGTTTGATAACAACTGGCTTATTAAAAGGGAATTATTTAGAGTTCCTAGCAACAGCAACCCTCAGAGCAGCTTCTGTGCGGGCTTGAGGGGAGACATCTGAACACCATTACATTGCACTTCT